TGTGTCTGCATGACAGCGTTTTTCGACTCCTTAATTGCCAAGGTCACACACCAGCCTTCATGCCAGTCTTAGGCATAACAAGAAGTCAGCACACTTGCATATGCATACAGTTCATACAGAGACACAAATACACCCGCTGCCTGTTTTGGGGATCACGCTGATCACATATTGGAAGGATAAGTGCTATTTAAAGTGACCACCACCAGGGCTCAGGGGGGAGAGCAGAGATTATTGTTGGCGGTGTACATCCCGAGTGAAAACAAGACCCACCATATTAAACTCTGCACAGCTTTGAATCATCCTGATGAAAAATGGATAAGCTTGTGGTCAGCCAACTCAAAACAATGAAATCCACTGATACTGCCCAGCCCCTTCCACCCTGCCTTCCTCTTTTTCTCCTGACCTTCTAAAACTCTTCTTTTAAGCCGCCTGTGTGACGCATAGTTGTTTTTCCTCTGGTAACAAGATATAGCTTTAGTGTGTTTTACAGTACTTCAAGTGATAATCCAATTAAAATATAACATTTGATAATTAGACAATCACACATTGTATCATGAGACTTAGAAGGTTTCTGTAAAATGTTTGTCTGCTCTTTCATGCAAAGCAAAAGATGCATGTGTGTGTGTGTTGGGGGGGGGGGGGCATGGGGAGTCATGTTCTGGTAAATTGAATCTGAGCTCTGCCAAACAGGTGCGATACACATGTAGAGAGGGAGAGTGATTACATTAGGTTAGGCAGAAAACGGAGATGAAAAATACACCATATAGGAAGGTCAATACGCTGCCAATGAACATGTTAAGTTTTTGCAGTGTGTGTGGCCTGACTGGTCGGTTTGTTTACTCTCAAAACTGATGTATTTGTGGCAGTTGGCCTGGATCTCAAGTGGGCCTGTACCGTGTGTAATAGGTGCTATAAACCAGACAGATCCAGGGGATTTCTTCTGTGCTGGTAACTTGAGCAGAGTTGCTGTGTTAAATATAGAGGGAAGGCCCCGTCGTCTCCCCAACAACAGCAGAGAGCCGACTATAGTTCTGGGTGGGGTCCGTGTGTAAGGTGTGCCAAACGGCCAACACGGCGGCATCACATCACCATTTTCAGTGTCAAAGTCCGAGTGTCCTCTCAGGACCTGGTGTGGAAATCGAATCCACTGTTGGAAGTGCTTCATATTCAAGTTATAAAAAGTGAGTCGTGAAAATCATCCCACAAAAATGCTCAGTCTGAGCCTCGACTCGTTATTTACTGCACCAAGGAATAAATGGTTTTCAGAGCTTAACCTTTATTAGCACACAACATACAGACACACAACACTTTCTCCCTCTCTACACTCCAGCTCTGAGCCAGTTGTTGCTACTCATCTCTCCCTCTATCCCTTAGTGTGGGTGTGTACGTGTGTGCGCATGTGTGCCTGGCTTGTTGACTTAAGTTGGCCCATGTGTTGTGCTGCTGCCAGAGGGGAGGGATTTTGGCCTAGTCAAGGCCAATACAAGCTAAGGGGGAAGGAAGTTGAGAAAGTGTGTGTTATACATGTGCGCAAGTGAAAGTGGGTGTTTGTTTATGCATGCATATTTAATAGAGCTGGGATAATATGCTTATCTCTCGATTTAATACTATCACCATCTTTGGATATTGATTCGATATGTGCTGCTGACAGGCTAACTTGCTAGCTCCTGGGCTGATGAATGTTATTACACCTGCTTAGTGTAACTATTAAATTCAGGGATGATTCAAGAAGAAATATGCATAAAGGTTTGAAAATGAAATGGGTGGCATAATTTGGCATGTAATAAAAAAATAGGCCTTTCCACTTGGTAACTTTATATGAACTGTTCAATGAATTTACAGAAAATTAGCAATATTGTGAAGTAGTAAGTATCAGCGACTCAATTTGAAATTGTTTATATCGGGATGTGAGATTTTGGTCATATCACAGCGGCAAATATTTAACAGTGCAAATTACTCCAACCAGAATATGCCACAGTGTTCATGCCACCCACATACAAACAAGAAGTAAAATGAAGTTAAGATGTCCCGATTGATATAATATCTGTCTCATTAAACACATTTGTATCAGTGATAGGGGATATAAATATGACAGCTCAGAGTACAAATGGTGTCTACATAACCACACAGTGTTTGTATGTGTCTACATGTATTTATTTGCATATGTGGGAGGAGGCTGTTATGTTTATCATGTCATCATTAAATTTACTGTATGCCATAAACATACAGTGGTTAGTCTGAAAGGTTCTTGTAAACATCCATATTTGGGCACTTGAAAACCATGAAACCCCAAAACACCCTTGTCGTCAAACACACACACACACACACAGGCTTTTTGTTGACAGCAATCTCTCTAGCCGCCTCTTTCTGGGCACTAAATAAAGGCAACCCCAGTTTAACTTGCTCGGAAATAAAGCCTCACATAGGAAGAAGCAGGCAGATTTACTCCCCTGCCAGTGCAGCCACTCTTTAGCTTGTCCTACACTCCCACCACGTTTAATGGCTCCATAGTTATTTCACAGAGAGGCAGGATCATGACATATACAGTATCTGCAGGCACTGATGCGCTCATTAGAGCAAGCAGTGGACAGGAATAGCAGGATTATTATCTGTGCAAACTGGTTTCATGATGGCAGAAGATGGCAACATCTACTCCTAACTTAAACATTGATATGAAACTTAATCTAATGACAACATTGGATTAGCTCCACCTCTGTCAGCCTGAGTAAGAGTCAGTCAGCTTACTGCCCTCTGAGAAAGTGTCCCACATGTCATTATCGTTTATTGCTTAACACACAAACGTAATGAAACTGTGGTGGAGTATCATGGTTCTGCTGGGAAGCAGAGGAAGGAAAAAGCTCAATGTCAGGAAACCAGAGTGGGTTGGGAGGGTGTACGGGTATTAATGGGGTCTGGTGTGTGTGTGAGAAAGAGAGAGAGAAACAAGAGAGAGAGGGATATTCAACTTTGAGATAAAACACACACACACACACACACACACCAGAAACAGACATGCATGACTGCAAGTGATATGTTATTAGTAAACCACTTTTCCACACAGGTAAAATTGGATTTTATTGGGACTCTAAACATGCGTTTTGTAGAATTGAGAGCATAACTTCTTTATCTCCTGAGTGAAGCTGACAACAGGTCGTCCATGTTGGCGGCAAAATGAGGAAAAACAGCACAGAAATGTTATTAAAAAATAGACGGGTCCATAAATCAAGAGCTTGTCCCCGGTTGGCCCTGTTCAGTGCTGAAAAGAAACTAATGACTGAAACAGGACACGGCTAATCTTGTTATCTCTTTATCTCTCTTCCAGACTGTGAGTGCTTATGCATGTGCATGTTTGTGTTGTCCGCATTGTGTATTAACTGCCTTTCCCCATCTGTGATCACTGTGTCGATATTATTATTTATACACTGTGGTCCTCTACATGTTCAGAACACGAACGGACACACACACACAAACACACACACAGAAACTATAACCTTAAACATGTCTTCATCTTATGATTTAATGAATTACATGATGGGTACTTGCTTTTTGTCCCCATAAGGACGGTTGGTCTGTGTACTGTGAACAGAATAAGGTCCCCACAACATGATAATACCACAACCACATACTCACACGCGTGCACACACACGTAGCCCATGTTTTGAGACGCTGAAGAGTAACACCAGTGTGTTTTGTTTGGATTCCTTCATATCTGGTACATTCCTCTGCAAACTGCCCCACTTCCAACACATTCTCATCAGCGTGGGAGCTGAGACACTCTGAACTTTTTCTGTGTCATATAAGGTTTTTAAAAAAAATCTAGTCTCTTATTGTGTGTGTGTGTGTGTGCAGGTACACGTACGCTTGCAGATTTGAAGTGTTTGTGGGCTCCAGAGTGAAGTTTTTATGTTGAGTATGTGTGAGTGTGTGCACGGAGACTCGGAGTGGATCTCTGCCAGGGCTCAGGGCTTGGCTGAGAGAACGCCTCAAACCAGTTTACTCTGGTTGTGTAGTGGAGGAGTCTGGGGGCGGGACAAGGACTTCTTAAAGCTGCAGACCATGTGTCTCTGTACGAGTGTGTGTCTGCTTTGTGTTAGCATGTGCGTTTAACCCTTTTACAGTGTTTGGATCTGTATAGTACACACAGTTGCTCACCACATTGTATGGCTCTCTCTCTTTTTACGGGATTTTACACAAGTACATAAATCTTTTTTCTGCTCGTGTGTGTGTGTGTGTGTGTGTGTGTGTGTGTGTGTGTGTTCCTGGCGCTGCCTTGGATAATTTCCCCTGTATTTAACTTTCAAGGGCAGCATGGACAGAGGTGCAAAGTGCAAAATAGAATAGATTGGCTGTCTGGTGAAGCACAGATATGTGTGCTTCATTACAGGATCACACAAAAATTACTGGTGTTCCCAGTCACATTTTTTATAAAAATGCCAGATGCCAAAGCATACTCATTACTGTGCATGTATATTATTATTGTGTTTAAGTGTCTGTTGCCAGTTCAAGTGGGCAGTATAAATAAGGTTTAGGCTGAGGCTGGACTCACCTCAGCATGGGGTGCACTGAGCAGGAAGGGAGGAACAAGCATCTCTCTCCCTCTCGAAGCAAAGTTGCTCAAGCTGTGCAGAAACACACCACAAACCCTTTTACTCTTGAGGCTTTTAGTTGTGCACACACACATACTCAGACATAAGAATAGTAAGTTTCCCAGCTATATCACATATCTGTGCACTGGCTACTACTCTTGATGGATTTGTTTGCTACATCAAATTTCTTGATATTTTTGGGGGGCTTCAGAGATTTGAATTTTCCCCTAGGGACAAGGCCGGGCTTGGATAGAATACTTTTTTAAACCATTTTCCATTACTCAGAGAAACTGTCCAAACAAAAGATTATTACTTAACTGGCTTTGAGGTGAACTGGGGACAAGAGCACCCACGGATAATCTACACCTGACTGTGTGTGCCTGTTTGGTCAATCTATATTTGTGTGTTTTGCAGGAAGCCCTCAGGTCATGCCGATAAGGAAGTGATGGCTGCCACCGTCCTGACCTCACTGTCCACATCCCCGTTGGTGCTCTACCCTTCCTCTGCATCTACAGGTACCCCCCCGTGTCAGCTGCATTTTACCTCACGCAGCATCAGCTCCTCCATCAAATACTGACTCATCTACGAATTAAACAAATCTAGGACAGTCTCTTTAAATCATGTCAGGGGTTTACTCACTGTCACTCAGGTGAAGAAGGGGACTCTGGGAAGAAATATTCATCATAAATCACTTTATGTTATCTTACCTTCGCAAAGACTGAGCTGCTGAGTTGTTCACCTGTGTTAATCTGTATCCATCCAATGGAAAGGAGTCCTTTTTTTAGCACTACTCTTATCTTTGTATGCATGCTTGTTTACCCAAGCCCAGTATGTGGTGCCAAATGTTCAGCCCTGACTTTATCACTATGGTTCCTTTTGCTGTTTCAAGTCTTGCTGTGGTTGCCATCACCATGCCCACCGCACATATGGTCAAAGTCCTGTCCAGTGTTAAATAGTTATAAGCCCAACATTAAATCAAATCTATTGCTTTGCATTCAGTAAAACAACATGTTGTACTTCATATCCCCAAAGACATCCTGATAGAACCGGTACCAAGTGGAATCAAGTATAAACAAATCAAACTAGAATGGCACTCAGCAGAGCACATACCTCCGCTAAGGCCCAACAGTCCCCTTAAATTCATTCAAGCAGCACCAAAGTGCACTTACAGATAGTCACTTAAATGCCTGATTCTTTTCCCCATCAAGATCCATGAATTATTCCCTGGGAAATACATGGACATGTTAAAAAAACAAAATCTGGAGTTTAAAAATCATGGATCCGCCCCAGATTGAATGGGTTATTTCTTAGTCCATGACCCATCCATAATCCAAGTTTCGTGGAAACAGGTTGGGGATGTTTTTGCATAATCCTGATGAAGAAAACTGACAGTCTCCTTTGTGTCATGCTGTGATTAGTTTCCCTTATGGGTGTGACACATGGTTTACTATAGCCACATGACTTAAAGATCTCAAAAATAAATATATGGAAAATGTTAACGCTGTGGGTCAGCACTATAAAGCGCATGGCACTATTATCATTACCACAATCATTTCACAGTAAACCTAACATGACTCATAAGTTGTTTAGAAATTGATGCTGGAACAGGCTTTTAAAATATGCATTGGATATGTTACGATTTATGGAGTGGGTGGAACAAAAATAAAAAAAATAAAAAAAAAGGACCGTGATATCGTGAAGCATGAAGACCAGGAAGCAAAAACTTAACTAAGAGTGTCCTTTAATTAGGTAAAGTCCATGAACAGAAACAGTACAGGAAACCAAGAACACAGTAAGAATATATGCACATATGTATTTTTGGACTCCATCCATCCTTACTCCACCTGTACCAGCATTTTCTGTGAAAAGATGAGTGAAGTTAGCTTTCTGTACAATTCATCTTGCAAAATTGAATTCTAAGTACTACACCAAGAAACAATATGATCCAATATCAAGTAACGCTCCTGCAAATATTTTACTATAAATACCTGCTTTTTAAACAGAAAGGATTTGGTCAACAGAAAGGCTGGAGTGCTTTTATTTTGAAACACTTACAGAAAGTGTAGCAACCATTTGTGTTTGTGACATATATTCAACAGATGAACATTAAAACTCAGGAGAAAGATCATTTTCTCTGTTCTGCAGTGAAACAGTTTTTTCTGTCACGTTTGACACGTTTCAAAGTAAAAGCACTCCAGCGTTTCACTTCTGAAACAATTCATTTGTTCCAACCGGGTTTTGATAGTTAACAGACCAGAAGATGCAGAACTTCAGACCGTAGAGTTCTGACATTTAGTTTAGTACATAACCCGTCTTGTAATAAAGGAAATGCAGGAGATAAACCTGCAGCTCGCCAGTAGCAGACACAGCGCATGTGAACAACAGACACACATTATCTGCAGAGCAACCACAGTCAGTGAGTCCAGAGATAAGGTTCTTCATGTACTTACCGAACAGTGTGAAGTTAAATCCACGAACCAAAGTAGTTTTCACAATTCGAGGATTCTTTCCGTCTCTGCTTCATTCTGTATCCGATGATGGGGGCAGGGTTAATTCACTGAAATTCACTCCTGAGGTGTTACAGCAGGTTCAGAGTTGAAAGTAAAGAGTCAATACATTTACAACTAGAGATTTAATTTAAAGACACTTCCTTTTGACCCAGCTTTTTGCCAACTGAGTTAAATATAACAGTTTTGAATCTGTCCAGAGTATAATTCACTCTACTCTTGCTCAAATTTGACCAACACCAAAAATATAACTTTTGAATTTGCTGCGAAGCATGGCTTGCTGATAAAGAAAACTAGAAGAAGAACTCAAAAAGTCTAAATTGAAAAACATAGAACTCACTTGAGAAACACTAGGAACTCACGAGTGAAGGAGAGAGGGTGATGACCTGAAGCAGCATGAAGAAGACCAGGACTGACGATCATGAAACGACAACAGGTGGTGAGACAACAACAAACTGACCAAGGCAAGGACAGAGATTTATATACAGACTGAACTGATCACAAACCAGAGACAGGTGGGCTAGGACAAACAGGTGAAACTAATCAAAGCAGGACGTCAAGGTGGAAAACACACAAGGAGCAGAAACTACAAAATAAAACAGGAAACAGAGTGGAACACAGACTGAAACACTGAGTGGAACACAGACTGAAACACTTAGTGGAACCAAGGGAACACAGGTAAAGGTCGAAATAAAAACCTAAACACAGGGATAGATACGATACACAAGGTGTCCATAAACAAAATGAAAACTCTAATCATAAAAGAGGCAAAAAGTCCAGAGTCATGACAGGATATTTTTTCTGGCTGTGAAAGTTATGCTTGGACTGGGGACAAATTGAGACTCCAGTTTCTGACTGAAGACAGGACGAAGAGATTGTACATATTTCCACCTTTCAAGTTAATGTGAGGATTAATATTTGTAGCCTGTAGTATGGTTTGGCTTTGACCAAAAGTTCCTTTAACTTCCAGTCCCAGTGCTGACTAAAAGCTTCCCGCAGGCAGTTGCTCACCTTCGTTCACAGACCACCGTGGTGCTTTCTCTGTATCAGTTAGCCATAGGGGCTAACAGGCAGACCCTGGTGGGCTGCTGCTTCAGTGGGCTGGTGGATCAAGTTTCAACCCCCACTTCAACCACATTGGAAACACTACATTTTTATTGCATTAAACCCAGAATACAATAATCCTCATAACAAAAATCGATCTATGCTACATATTCATTTGAGCTGGGATTGACATCCTTACATAAATATAGGATATAGTTATTGGTTTGGTATAACTTAATCCAATGAGGATTAGTTTGTCAAAGTTTACATTTTATGTTTTGCCACAGTGTCATTAAGTTTTATAGATTAATCTTTATTGTATTTGTTGAGAAGCCAAATGTATAGAAAGGGTTTGTGGGCCAAGCCTAGAAATAGTAGATTACAAACGTTGTTGGGGAAATTAAAGCTGTGTTTGGTTTAATCAGTTGAGCTCAGCTAAGCTTGATGAAAAATGTTGTGGCTGTATCTACTACATGTAATATATGAAATATATTTGAATGTAAATATTGAACCTTCTGTCATAGTTCAGGGCTCCTTAGAGGTTTTAATGCCCATTTCCAAAGTAAATTTTTTGCCAGTATTGTTTCTATTTCAGGCCTTTTAAAGTAGGGCAGTGATGCTTTTTAAGTCTTTCTGTTGATCTGAAGTTAAATGTGTGCTCTCTTTAATCTGCAGTCCCAGAGGCAGCCAGCAGGGCTTGGAAAGAGGTGCTATCAGCTAGCTACAGCAGTTCGACCAGCGGCAACTGGAGCTGGGATGCCAGCGACCAATCGGTGCCCTCCACACCGTCCCCTCCTCTCTCCAACGATAATACCAAGAACTTCCTGCTCTCATCCCAGGGTGATGATGTCAATGAGGATAACACAGAGAGCACGCACTTCATGTTTGAGGACCCCATACCTCGGAAGCGAAAGGTAAAGATGTGTATATATATTTATATATATATATAAAAATAAATAAAWTATATATATATATATATATATATATATATATATATATATATATATATATAGGCCCAACAGCCCCCTCATGAAACATCATTTATATTCACTAGATCGAGATTTTTTTTATTTCAATCTGCACCAGATAGCCCATACTCCAGATCCATGTATTGTTTTCTGAGAAATTGAGGATAATGTTGAAATCTTTTTCTCATAATGTAAAATAAAAAAGTGAAAAAGTATTTTTGGATCCATCCCGTCATCCAGATCTACACCAAAATTTAAAGGGTTCCTGACCCATACCACACCCTTCCACCAAGTTCTGTGGTAATCGGTCCGGTCATTTCTGGTGAAATCCTGCTAACTACCGGAAAGACAAACAAATAGCGATGAAAACATATTGTCCTAGGCTGAGGTAATTATAGGTTTAGAACGTGCAATATATGAAACTGAATTGATGACTGGATGGAAAGCTTTCTAGTTGTGACTGATTTAATCTTCCACTGTTATCTGTAGGCATTACTAGACTTTTGATTGATGTGGCTGCATATTTCATAGTTTTGGTTAAAGATTCAAGGACTTTTATTGTGTATTTTAGCTTAAAGCCTCCACAGTCGTTTTCACAGTTGATGTCGCGGTTTCTCTGTGGTTTTGGGGTTATCATGGCTGTCCTAGATGTCGTTAACTCCTTTTAACCACATGCAACTTAGAATGTGTCGTAAAATGACATAATACACGTCCACAATTGCAGAGAAATAACTTAATGTGCTTCTGTCACTTTAATAAGCGGTAGAGCAGTTGTAGTTGCAGGGGCAGACTTTGCAAAGACGCACCAGAAACATTGGGAATATGTAAGCACCATTCAGTTTTACAAGCCTCTGACGTACGTCTCGTCTCTCTACTTGTGTGGGTGATGGATTATGTTCAGTGTCATTCAATCCTCCTCCTCTCTCTTTTTGACTGTAGCAACAGTCCAGAACTCCGAAACGCTTCACTGTTAAGAAGCTCTCTCTCTCCCTTTCAGCCCATTCAAGGGGAGAGGTGGGAAGGTTAAGTAAGAATGAAGGAGAGGAGGCAGACGGGGGAGGGATGTTCTGCAGGAAGTGTAAAAGGTTTCAAGGGATGTATGAAAACGAGGACAGTCAGAGGAGAGAAGAATTGATTCTCAAGTTAGTAACAGGAGGTAAAATGAATCTCAATCTTTCCTCCAGCCATATGGTGACAGAGGAGATACTCATATACTGCACAGTTTGTGGGAGTTTGCAATTCAGCCTCCCTGGCGAGGGGCAGCAGTGAAGATTATTGAGCTGCGGAATATATGAAACCGCTAAGACTCAGAGGACGATGCTGCCAGAGACCTATGCTGTAGCATAGATAAGCAGACAGGAAATGAAGTAGTGGGATGACACTGGGAGGAATAGAAACACATGGGTTGTGTTCAACAACAGCTCAAATGTGAGCGTACTCTCGCTCGCCTTGTGCTGTGATATAGCTGACACCAACCCCAGAGGTCTCAAACTTCTCTGAGCAGCTGCCCCTTGAATTGTAGACTGTTTGAATTTGAGCTGGCAGCGAGTTAAGAGGATTATTAAACTCTGCAATCACCAGTCTTACTATAACTGTGTTAAGATGCAAGAAAAACGCTTAGGGAATTAAGTGCTTTGTGATTGTTTGTGGGATTAACGACTAGCTTTTCAGTGTAATTTTTTATTAGGAAGGTTGTTTCAAACAGTGTGACAGAGAGCAGCCAGCTCCGCTCAGCTACTTAAACAACATCTTGGTGTCACATTCAGTGAAAGGGAGTGATTGTCAATGAAAATTAGTTGAGATTAATAGTAGCGTAGGAGAACAAACAGAGCCACTGATTAAAAAACCTGTTCCCCTCCGACTTCTCTTCATCTATTTTTCTCTTTCCATATCTCCTGCTCTCTCCCTCCCTCCCGGTTTCTTGCCCTTCCTTCTCCGCAGGCTGTTGAAAGGTAATGAGAGTACACACCCACTGCCTTTCATTAGCAGTGATGCAGGTCCCTGCCTGCTCACGGGACAGCTGCCAGCCACTGATATGAGGACGTGAAAATGAATTGAAACAAGAACACCCACTCTCTGGCTTTTAATGCATGGAGGGTTATGCTTGTTTTTTTGTGTAAACGATCTCAGGAAGATCAGACATGATAACATTTCTAAATTATTTCCCGTATGATCGGAGGTTAAAAAAAGGTCACAGACGTGCTTGTGTGTCTGTGTTTACATGTATGTTGTTGTAAACATGAAGGTGGCACCCCCAAGCTGTATCTCACACCTATTTATGGTACAACAGGTCTTCACCTCATCCCACAGCCTGCACAGACAGCAGGAGAAGGTCAAAACAGTGCGTTTATTTTGCCCATCATTCTGCAGGTGAACATGAAAGTACTGTGAGGTAGACAGAGGAAGGTGCATTTTTATTGTCCCCTCTCAGTCCCTGTCTTTTTTCTATTTCTCTTTCGCGCTGTATGTGTCTGAACTTGTCAGATATCTGTTTTCTATTTTTATAGACTTGCTGCTCTATTAGCTTTCTAATGAGGTGTAGTGTTTGGCCCCATGTAGAGTGGCACTCAATCCCCTGCGAAGGCCTTTGTATTCAGTCTGCCAGTCAGATCCACACAGAGGAACATTAGAACACGAACTGCGTAAATCTCTGTTTGCCTTAAAATACTAGTTCGAGGAGACAGACGATCTTTGACTAAAGAAAGAAGAAAACATTCAAATCCCAAGAGCTAAACCAGAGACAGATGTTGTAGCATAAATGCACAGATTGTGAAGTCGACATCAGCTACTGTCTAACGTATTGGTTTGAAATTTGTCTTTCAGAACTCCATGAAGGTGATGTTCAAGTGCTTGTGGAAGAACTGTGAAAAGGTCCTCAGCACTTCCTCAGGGATCCAGCGACACATCCGCACCGTCCACCTGGGGTGAGTAGCCAGTCATCAAGAGAAAATCAAACACACCCTGAGTGTGTCTTGGATATCAACAGTCCCATATGCAGGGACGTATCTTATCAATGTATTATACAAGTTTGAAAAAGCAGATGTTGGATTTGAAATAGTTTAAACCACAGTTTTTGTCTGAGCGGATTTCTTAGTCACACACTAATCACTACTGTGATTATGTGTGACTCATGAGCCTCATTGATCATCTTCATTTAATCATTATTTAAAAGTCAATGTGTTTTTAGTTATCATACTTCAAATTCAGAGTTAATTCTGCTAATGTGGACACTGATTTTTATTTTATAGAACTGAAGGCTTATTTTTCCCACTTTATTAAAGACATTCACTGTGAAGGTGTTAAGTAAAATGGTACTTCCTCTGTACCAGTGTCAAACTCTTTGATGCAGATTGTGTGGTACAACAAGAAAAGTGACACACATCTGACTGTCACAGCTTGGATGCCATCCACATGAAGTGAGAGCTTGTGTGTTACCAGTGAAAACACATGTGCACATTTTTTCATATTTGAATTTACACTGTGAGGTTTTTATCAACACAGTTACCATTTCCTGCTTTTACCCAGCACTGCACTAGATGTAAAATAAAATATTACAAATGTCACCCAGTGAAATTTAAAGCAGCAATAACTGAGTTTGTATAATTGTTATTGTCAGGAAGTTTTTAACTGGATTGAAATTATGATAGTTTATGCTCATATATTACTATATGCAGACAGAGAGAGACCTATTTTTTTCCGTGCATTAGTTAAACACTAAACAGTTTTTGAAGAAACAAGCGACCACAGAAATTGCCCTCAACAGTTGTCATTGCATCAGCAGCCTGTTTGTCTGAGGAGCGCTGCAGCACACTGGCTTTACACTGCCCCCTACTGTTGGGAAGAGTAACTCCTTTCTTCTGTTACATAACAGACAGCTGCGCTTCAGACAGCTGTGCCTCCATCAGTCAGCCACAGCATTAAAACCAGTTACCGGGTTTATTGTAGTGTTAATGTACTGTAATGATGATAACTAGGTTTAATGTTGTGGCTGTGGTTTACAAAGTGGTCAGTAGTGCTTAAGTAAAACGTCTGAGGAAAATACATGGGTGTCTTTCATGAGCACCATGATCCCATGACCCAATGCAAAGATTATGCTCTTCCTCTCTTCATGTTAACAGTTTATTATAAAATAAACATGTGCAAAGTGGGCAAATTCTTTGGTATGAAGGAAGCTTTATTAGTTGCTCTGGGCAAACTTAGTTATTAATGATAAAGTCAAGTTTTCTTTCTAAAATAATAACAAGTCTAGAGCCATTTTTCAAAGTGGACATTTATTCAAGCCATCCATAATACACTTTATACACCTGAAATATTGTGAAGTGGAATAAATATTTATAAGTATTTTACAGAACTGTTTCCTACTCAATATCCAGGGTAACGTCAGATAAAATATTATGCTAGACAGCAGTGGTAATATATCACAGGCCTAAATCATTAACAAACCTACTGCACAGGCAACAGTCTTAAAGGCTAATGCACCTCAGAGGAGCGTCTATTTGAGATCATGGACCCCAGCCACCAAATTAATGGCTGCGGATCACATAGAAGTGAATGTAATTATTTCAGATACATAAAGGAAGTAAATGCTTCTCATTTTCTGGCATCCAAACTGATAGATCTGAAGTAAAAGGGAAAAATGATGTCTAAGCTCTTAAGATATACAGTACCTGTATTCAAGGAAGTTGAACAGCGAGATGTTGAAAAGTTATGGAAAAGTAAAATGAGTATTCAACCGAATGCACCAATAAAAATGCTGTGGTCAGAGTAATTAGCAAGTACAATTACAAGAAGAGAGCGTAATAGTTTAATTGGCCACGTGTTCCTTGACCACAATTTCAAGATCAACTCTAAGATGGGACTGAAATTCAACAATCTTAAGTTAAGTTAAGTTTTTTAGTTGTTGCTGTTTGGCTCCTGCAGGCGAAACAGCGACTCCGACTACAGCGACGGAGAGGAGGACTTTTACTACTCAGAGATCGAGGTCAACATGGACAGCCTAACAGAGGGCCTGTCCAGCCTCACACCCACCTCGCCCACCACGGCCGGTCCTCCGCCCGCCTTCCCACCACCGCTCACCGATGTCCCTCACTCCGAACACATCAACATGTATGGTTCGCAGAGCCACGTCCCAACACTGCTCAGCACATCAGCTCCCTCCACGCTCTGCCACATCCGCACTGACCACGCCTACCAGGTGACACACACACACACAAACCAAATAAATGTAATTTCTACTGCGAATCTTCAATTATCAGTGTGGCAATAAAAGCAACAAGCTTAAAATTGACCCCTTCCTTACTGAGGTTTCAAATAATAACAAAAGTTGACATGAAGAATTAAGTCTCAATATTTTTAAGCCTGAAAACTTGTAGTCATGTGGCTTAAATTCCTGCTGGAAACACTTAATGTGTACTGCTGTACAGCTTTGGTTATCCTTCCCCTTCCCCTTCCTTCGCTCATTTTACTTTCTGCTCTTCTAACGGTTAACAATTCATGTGTGTTGCTTACTTTTACATCCTTGGAGGTAAACAAAAATGAAATGCTTTCAGCTGAAAGAAAATATTTGGTCAAAGTATAAATCTTTATAATATTCAATATTGAATTCAGTCCTTTGCAGCGGACCAAGGTTGTATTGAAGTTTTAGTTGCCATGACAACACCAGACACAATGTAAAAGTACACTGACGTCAATGCATATGCAGTGCAACAGCTTCTCATGTTTCATTTTCTCTGGATTGCTTATACTCATGCTCTTCTTTTCAACACTGCCAAACTTGTTTTCTCTGCTATACTTAATGTTGACGTAGAAGCTGTTTTGTGGCATATTGTACAGAACCTGCCAGGATTCGTAAACTAAACTATTATTGTAAAAGTCTAAAATTGTCTTAGTTTTAGATTCAAAAAAGTGGAGAAATACGCCCCCACGCTAATTATGTGATCTCTGTTTTCTGTACCCTCCTTCTGTCTGTTACATTCTGCACGTTTCCTGTCTGTCCTTGTTTCTGTCATGTCCTCTCCTGGCTGTGATGGGGTGACCATGTTCCAGGCCACTGCTCCAGTGAGTATCCCAGTGGGTCCCGAGCTGGCAGGGTTAGACAGTGGTAATGGGACCCGGCCTGGAACTGGGATTGAGAATGGCATCAGTGTGTCGTGGCAGTCCCCTCCTGTCATTTTCAAAGGCACCCCGGTGAGTGAGGCTTTGTCTCACGCCTTTTTATCTGAATCTTTAACTACGCTCCTGCTGTTTCTCCACTTGTGGCTATTTAAGCTGTTTGTCGCTCTGGTTTTTCACCCCCCCTGCTTGACTGTACCATCATCTTTATTATAAAGAAAGGCACCAGTAGCAGAATTCATCCAAAGATGCATTTAACGGTCATTTAAATAAAATCTGATTTGCATGCAATGTTATGCAACATTCGCAACGTTATACTTGATGTGTCTCAGTGCTATGCATATAAGACTTAAAATTATGAAATTAAAACAAGTCACAAATAAAAAGCACATGCATCAAAAACATTAACCTCCGTGTCTGTTGCAAACCATTGAAGGCAGCAAGTCTGTGAACAGGAGTCTGAGCTCCAGGACCCCCCAGGAGTCACTCAGAGGTCCTGGGAGGTGTTGGAGGCACATACTGTATCTTAAAATTGCATCAGACGTACTCAGGCCCAGAACTGTTTAAAGATTTACAATCCAATAAAAGGTTCTTGAAATCAATAATAAAACTTACAGCCATTCACTGCAGGGACACAAAAACGTGTGTTATACTCTCTGGTTGTCGATCAAGACGTACAGATGAATTTTGGATGAAATGATTTTGAACTGTGGTAACAGGAAGGTGAGTAAGATAGAGCCGCCAGCTCATGGTGTGCCATTTTAAGTCATTTTTGTCATAACAACAGCAATGCAAGTCATGCATGGAACTGTGTGTGTTACTTTTGTCTTTCTGTTGATGATGGGAAGCTTTATGATGTTGCACAGTACAGAGCGCCACTTGTTTCCTTCATTTACTTGAGAAAAGTACTAAAACTCATGTACTCAGAAAATTTAAGCGAAGATTTTTGAATATTGGGTGCGGCACTCATGTCTTCTCTCTCTGGCAGGGGCCTGTGACCCATGTCCGAACTGTCAGCATCGGGGAAAAGCGGCAGCCGGCAGCCAACACACACACCACTGTTATTAAGAACCATGCTTTAGTAACACCTCCAGCTAAGTCGATACCAGGAACCAGGTATGTAGCAGCTGTTTTCTCACATACACAGTCCATCATCTGTGTTGCATTTGATTATGTCCCCATACATAATTTATATTAATACAAATGAGTTAATGAGATGACGATGGTGATTACAAGAACAAAGTGACATTATTTCTCCTGCTGGGAAACTTTTACAAGCAATTCAACAAAATACGTTGATAGACTAAAATGAGTTATGTAGATTCGTGAACAATGTTTGAATTGAGTCTGCAGACACACAACATACAGCAACACAATAACGTGTAAGTGTAGTTAACACTGAAAGCTTTTGTTTAGGTTACTGAAAAGCTTTGACAGACAAGCCAGGACATTTTGTCTGAAGTCACCACATCTTGCATTGAGCTCAATATTATCTTAGTTAACTAAGTTCGGCAGACAAAGAGACCATCTTGGATCAAGTGTCCTGCAGCACTCTTATATTATCCAAAATGCAACCAAATTTCAGACTTAGTCCTCGTAGGGTAACTGTAGGATTTAACATGAGCTTTTTAAAGTGCAGCCAGCAAAAACGATTTTAATGATTATTAAAATCAAAATACAAACTGTGGGGAATTTAACTGTGAACATGTAGCTGTTTCATCCCTTCCTTAGTCTAGGTTACATTATTATACATTGTCCTGAACCTTTGAGCAGAAGATTATATAAATCATAAATTCCTTCTCATTTGTTTTTAATTGTTGATGGGAAATGCACCTCCATGCTCATGGACACATTTAGGTCCCACAGATCACATTGTACATATGTGCATGTTTTTGTTTTGCCTGTGTGGGTGCCTGGATTTCTGTGTGCATGTCCTTATGCTGTCACATCTGCTGTTACCAAGGAAACCCCGTGGGGAGGCAAAGAAGTGCCGAAAGGTGTACGGCATGGAGAAAAGAGACATGTGGTGCACAGCCTGTCGCTGGAAAAAAGCCTGTCAGAGATTCACCGACTAATCCAGTCCCCTTCCCGCCTCTGTGAGATGAGCTCTTCCTCACTCAGAGCGATGGCGAGGTGGACTCTTCCACTGAGGAGACAAGGGGAGATTTCTTCACGACGGAGCTCTCAGCGCTGCTTCCTCCAGCCCAGCTGGAGCTTCGCCTTCTCTTTCTCTTTCCGTTTCCAAACACAAAGAGAAAACAAAACCGGTGGGTTAATAAAAAAAAAAATCAGCAAGAAAAAAGAACTTTATGTAGGTTTGGAGACTTTTTCTATGTCTGAGATATTTTCACTCTAAAGATGAATAATTAATAACAGATTTTTAAATTGGATTCTGAACCGTCTGATTTGATTTTTATCACATTTTTCACAGTCTCAACTCAAGGCAATGTTTAAAGACTTCAGATAAGCTTTTTGGAATACTCTGTTGTCCATTACAAGAGCATCTTGTAAGCTACTTTTTGGGGGTGGATCATGACTCTTTTCGGAGGTTCAAGGGTTAACCAGATTTACTTGGTAAGACCTCTGTAGCATATTTGTTTCGAATTATCACTGTTTAAGGGACTTCAAACCTACCAAAGGCAAGACGCCGGTTCACTTACAACCAACAGCGTAGGTGTAAGCTCAATACCAAATCCAACATCACTGTCTTCTGCAGTCGTACTGTGTATTGACTGTATGCTCATTCAATATCTTAACAACCAATTAAATTCAGTACAGCCAGCAACACTTATATGAATTTAGCAAAAAATGCACAAAAAACTCACACCAAGTGGTACAGAGTTTCCCCTTGACTTTCCAAAAATATTTTCTAGAGATGTACACAATACATGAAATATATGTCCCGCTCTCCTTTACTATAATTTTGCCCTAGAGATATGCTCCTTGAAGAAATGAGTCATCTTTTGGAGTATCACTGTAACTGCAGTAGAGAGAGCGGATATCTATTTCTTATATAGAGTTTATTTTCAGCGATGAGTTCTTGAAGCAACGAGCAGTTGCACTGTGCAATCAGCAGGATTACAGCATTTAATATTGTATTTCTTGCTTTGTGGTTGTCATTTACTGACAGTTGATGTTCTCAAAGAGATTGTTTACCACAGTGAATGATACATGAATGATAACTGCCCTTTGAAACTAACTTATAGTCTGACTGGTGTAAATTGTGTATGTCGGTAAATAACAGAGATTGTAACCCAACAATCACTACCTGATAATAAGTCAGGTCTTCTTAATCATTTGTTACAGTTTTCAATGGAGAGGTTACACAATCTGTAGTAGTTGGAATAAATATAATTAACCAGCATTAAGATATTAGTAGATTCCCCAAGTTATCTTCATAGGAATCAAGACTTTTCCCCTTGTGTTTCTAGATGTTTAATCTTTTTAAAATGATCTTTCACTCTGGTCTGACATTTAAAATTAAAAAAGTAAGGATCTAATCAAGTTGAGTGCAGAGCAGAGGTGTTGGTAGACGACTGTAGACTGATTCAAGTGTAGCAAAAGTTTTAAAATGTTGTACCAAAGTGGAGTCTTACTTTTTTAGAATAGGTCTCTTATAGTAAATAGTAGCTGGCCATGTTTCAAACTTTAGATAAAATACAGGTGGTAGATTTATAGTTAGTTAGAAATTGTCATAGTAATGTAAAATTTAATATATCCCTTTTTTTAAACAATTTCCATCGGCCATTCTTAGAAAATGTCATCCTTTAAATTTAAACCCTAATTGTTTGTTGCTTTGCATCTGTATCAGCTGTCCAAGATATAAAACAAAACAAAGACAGCAGTGATCTTACAATATTTAGAGATATTTGTCCAATACTGTGACACAAGTCAACTAGTCATTACCCAACTCAAACTGTGCACCTGCAGGGTGAAACACGTGTAATTGACCTAAGGACATTTATGAAAAACATAATAATAATGATGAAAGTAGAAGACAGAGCCCCACATCAGAAGCCATAATTTAAGTAATTCCCATGTAGAGAAATTCCTACAAGAGCTGAACTTTTTCACGTTACCCCTCATTAGTTGTGGATGATCTTCCGAGTTGCACTCAAGATTTTAATAAGCTTGTTTCTCATAGCCCATACACTAAAGCTAACTTATATATTTATGTAGCCCCAAAATCACAAATTTGCCTCAAAGTACTTCACAGTGTACAACGTGTGACAGCCTCTATCCTTAGACCCACAAAAAAAACAAATTTAACCTTTATCAGGCATTTTACTGATCTGGAGGCAGAGTCGGGACAGTAGATGAATATTTTTGAAGAGATTCACTCTTTGCGTGTTTGTCAGCAGCGTTTTGAATGTAGATTCTGCTGTGCGTCCTCTACTCTCTAAGTGCTCCTGACATTGACCGTACCTAGTCACCATAGCAACGTATGTTACACACACGCAGAGACATAAAGAGTGCCTGTCCATCCCTGTTAAAGCAGGCCAACTTCAAGCGTACTTAGAATCAGTGCGACCTCACACATCTGTCGCCATAGAAACACCTGCACTGTCCTCTGCCGCCACAGGGTCACTCAAGCTGTCGGCTAACGCCACCTGATCGTAGTTGACCAGTTACAATCTCTCCACGAAGGACGAGGAGCAGATGGCTGATTGTTCATTGCCGGCTCGATGTCAATGAGCAAAAAGAAAACACATGAAGCACACGTTTGATTGCTGTGAGAAAAAGTAGTTATTAATATGTCCTTCAGTTCCTGTTGTAAAACCAGCATGACGTTTTTAAAATTACCAATCCTGCCTGTAAAGTGTTTATTCCAGTGGTGTCCCAGATAAGCTAGGCCTCCCCCCCTCTCTCTCTCTTGGGAGGCCTCTTCCGGTCAGAAACTTCACAAAGTGCCAATGAAAAGAACATTAAAAGGAAAAGGTATACTGACCTGATGAAATTGCACTATGTTGCACTGCGCAAAGACATGTTTTTATACATGGACATTTTATATACAAACATTTTTGAAGTTTATTTTCGAGGGGGGTTGGGAGGGGTGTGTCGTCACTGCCCGATGGAGTAAAATGGGGTATCAGGGAATGGGGTCTCTGTACCTTTTATTGTCGGGGGCCCCCCCATTATCAGTTCGACAGTTGATGTCTTGCTCTCTGTGTCGGATTTATCGCACTAAACATTGTGGTGCTGTCAGTCGTGGAAGTGTGGTACTGGGAAGTACAGTGTGGTACTTAGGTAGTCGGTCACTTTGCCTTTCCTTGGAGGAGTGCCAAGGGCCGAGAGCAGCACCTGCCTTGTCTCAGTGATGGGAAAACACCGGTCTCATTCGGTAGCTACACATTATCGTCTTGGTAACAGATGCTTAACAGCGTTTTATCGCCTGTAGTTTCTTTCATATTACACACACACACACACACTTTTTATCCATAAAGCTCCTCTTTGTGCTTCCTTTACTTAAACAAAAAACAGAAAAAGAAAAAAACAGGTTCATGCTTCTTTACATTTTACTGAGCTGAGGTAGAAACTGTTAGTGCTGGATATCACTTTTAATTCTGTTATCTCTAGTTTGGTCAAATATCGAGTGTCAAATGCAGCCCATCAGCTCCCTCTCCATCCTCAGTGTAAGCACTTTTAGATTCCACCAGCAGGGTCAGAGGCCGATGCCTATGCCAGCAGTGAATTGGACTGTTGGCACATGATCCACTGACAGGTTCCTGTGCTTGTTGGCACCGCTCCGCCTTTTAAAAAGATGCACTAAACTGGCCAGTGGCGATTAAGGCCCAGGCTGCATCCTTAAGAGCCCGGCTTGGCTAGGACTAGGGGTCATCGTAGCCAGAGAGAACTCTGGGTACAAGCAACAAGAGAACGTTATTGGTGGATTTCTGCAAAATAGATCAACAAATGAAATCCTTCCTGTAGAAAGCGAGAGGTGGAGATGAAAAGCTGACGTCATGGGCGTGCAGAGAAACTGGAGATTGACAGTGGAAAGAAATCAGATGTGAGACGCGCAGTGACGATATTGATGGATTTTGCTGTTTCAGGGCTATCTTGTACATATGCAACAAAAGAGAACCGTGAGGCTTTTTTCATATATTGTTGTTTTCTTTGTTGTTGTATCTCTTATATGAAAAGGAAACTTTTTTTTTTACAGTGCAGTTGCTCAGAATATTTTTCTTTCATTTTTTAAAGAGTCAATTGAGAAGCTATAGTGAACATAACACGTAATGAATCAATGTATATTGTAGCTTAGAGGCAAAGGGGAGAAAAACAAAACCTGTTGAATGTAAAACCTACAAAAAGAAAAGTCTTTTTTTTTGTTGATATATTTGTTGGCTTGTTATGTACTGCCTGTAGAGAACCAGTAGCGCGTCCAGATTTTTTGCATCCAAACCTTTAACACCCACAGACAGCTGTCGCCACACTGCTAGATCATAACACAACCATGCAGTATTGCTTTACTATCTCACTCTGTAATAATGTGCTTTATAATGGAACAAGAACTAACTTGAGCTGTTCTGGTGACATCCGGGCGACTCGCTCACACTGTTGCTGTTTCGTCTATTTTTTGTCTTTTCTCCCTGCCATGTAGAATTTGTTTTGGAATGTGTGGTTATCGTGGATGTTGTTTGTGGTTGTGACATTAAGGTGTTGACAGGCAGGATAACCTTCGCCCTTTTTTTGGTCATGATGAAAAGTTTTTTAACCTTGCGGGAACCTGTATCCTGCCCTGCACATTCCAACAGATGGCACGCTTTTAGTGTTTTCCATTCGTTTCCTACTGGACATATCCTTCCCATTTCCTTACTCACTACAGTGATTATTCATTAATCACCTTGTCCTTTTCCATTTCCTGTTCGTGTGCTCTCCAGCTTTACTGTGGTCCCACCTAAGCCTTTACCCAGTATATTAAGCTAAACTAAACCCTTGAAATGTGCATTAAAAAAAAGCCTTCGTATTTTCCAAATATGTCAAAAATTTGTGTGCTGCTTTCTTGAATGTCAGTTTTCATTTGTGTGTAAACCAGCAGCAGCAAAGCCAATAGATCTCCTTCCAAATCAAATGTAATGCATTGCAATGGCAGCTCCACTCAGTTTTTCGGCTTCTTCTACTGTGCTTTTATCGTTTGTCCAGGCTTTTACACTCTGTCTGTCACATCTCTTTGGATGACCATTTTTTCCCCGTTGTGTTTTTACTGAGCCGCACACTGGCTGGTGTTAAAACAGACTCTTTTTTTTTTTGCTTTTGTTGCCTCGTTTTCTTATTGATTGATTGATTGATCGATTGATTGTCTGGTTGAGTTTGAGGTTGTTTTGCATGTCTAGCATCGCTCATTTCTTTCCCGTTTGTTTTTGTGTTAGGAGAAAGAACACTGAAGGGTTTTTATGTGTTAGATGTCCCCTTTCAGGAACTGATAACCCAGGGCTGATTTAGCTTGTTTTCCTCTAAATGCAAACATGCTCATTGCTGACCGACACCCACACATGCACGGCGCATATTTTGAGGGAAACACTACGTCAGGCTTGGGTCATCACTGGAGGGTGAGATTCCTCCTGTGTGTGGGCTCCGCCTCTGGTCTTCATCAGCAGAGTCCCACACACGGAGGAAGCACTTTCTGAGGAGTGGTGCACTCAAAGAGTATTTGTGTGAATGTCAAGCCTGTGACTAGTGCTTGAAAAGATGGATGACCATGTATGATGCTGATAATGTGATCTATGTGATATAATGTGACAGAAAGAAAATAAATCTGAATGGAAGAAAAGACTGGTGTCCCACTAATTTTTTTATTTATTTAATATGTTAATCACTTCAGGAGAGTAGTTTATAATAAAGTATCACATGTGGTGATGTTAGCATGTTCATCCCTGTGTCTTCTTTATTTGACTTGTCTATTCTGACCCCTTGTGGACAGCAGTTGCTAATAACACAAAAAGGCACGGCACACGTCGGTCACTTCTTTACAGCAGCAATTTCAAAATTTATTGAGACTGATTGGTTTTTGCAAATAATATTCAAGCTAATTCTTCCACTAAACATGAAGTTAGAAAGAGGCTTGCATGGCCACTGGGCCTGCCCCAACATCAAAACAGGAGGCTCATGGTAAAAATGTTTTTGTGATCAGTACTATCAACCGAAAAATATTTGCACAAGAGCACTTAAATCTGCCCGAAACAAAACGGGTGTAAAAACAGGACAGGCTTTTTTTTGTTGATTATTTAACACATTTTGTTACAAACACAGGTTTATGATAATCATCAATATAAAGTCAGTATCATATTGAACAATATTCCCAATGAAAATAAACAAGCTGCAAGGGCAAACTTTTACAAATTAAAGACCCTCTAAAACTCGAGGGGAAAATAAATANTCACCAAAAGAAAGTTAAAGAGTCTGCATAATCTGTGTGTTCAGAATCTGGAATTACATGAGCAAGGGAAAGGTAAGAGGGAAAAAACAAAATCAGAGAAAGAAAGGCAGCTCCTCTTTAGGTGAGAGACGAGGCTCTCAGGTCCGATCGTCAGTGTGAGAGAAACTTGAGCCGGAGACGGCGAGAGAGACGGAAAGAGCTCATGGTGTCGGTGGCGTGGATCCACTGTGTGCTTGGGTTGAATTTGTTTCCAAACAGGGAAGTAGAAACTGATGTGCACCGTGTTTAAAACTCTGTAAAACTCTGTTTCAGTCTCTCTCTGTCTCACACACACACTTCACTCCCTTGTTTTAAACACCCCCCTCAAAAAAAAAATCTGTATGTACATTTCGTCAAAGTTCTTGTTGGAATGAATCGATAGAAACCGTGGTGGTAAACTCAAGTGAAGAAAAGATTAAGGACCCCACCGAAAGGCATAGGCTATATATAAACAGCAATCTGCACAAAGATTCAGTGATCTCGATATCGTGATAACAGTCAAGAGGACATGAAGTACATCCTTAAAGGTAGGTGCGGTCACCGAGTTGTTTAGGTAAGTAAAGATCTGATCAAAAATGTAAACCACGGGTTCAGGGCTTTGATAGGAGTCAGTTGTCGTTAAAGTGCAAGTCTGTGGCAGTAGGACTCTGCATCACTGTGCCAGCGGGCCGCCCCGTCCTCTGACACACGAAGCTTTGCAATAGATTCACACTCTCCCTTCAGTCGCAGAGAGAGAGAGAGACACTTTCCCCTAGAAACATATCAGCCAAGGTGGGACCCCCCCTCCTCATCCTCCTCCTGGCTGTATCCCTACACTGTCAGTGATCCTTGGTTTCCATGGTGATTGTGATGGCAAACATACAAAGTTACAGTCCAACGTCGGACATACACATCACTCTTAGTAGAAGAACAAAATCTAAAGTAAAAAGCGCCAAATTTTGAAATATAGTATAATATAGATATACCCATATCTATGGCTTCATGATTTGCACATGTGAATCAAGCTATACAGGCTAAATGAGGATTGCAATTTGTACACGTCTAAGAATACCCATATTCATCTGCAGTAGAGCAAACAGTTCCAGTTTTGCATCATGTGGAATGAGACAGTTGTGTGCAGATGCCGAAGACGTCGCTTTGGTATGACAAAAATGAACACAGGCATGCAGTTAAGACCACAGAATCAGGGCACAGAAGGTCATCAACACGCGGCGGGAAGGAGAATCTTAGTCGGCCATCATGATTTGTCTCGTCGAAGTTTCATCCTCAAAAAACGGTTTTTCGCGCCTCTAATATGATCAGTCACGTCTCGGTAATCTCTTTCCGTCGACACAGATAGTCAAGGAGCAAGCACTCTCACAACAAGCACACAGGTGAAATGTCATTGAGGCACATATTGAGGGGTTGATGGCAGACGTTTTCCTGAAGTACAACCCGGTATGAGGAAGAAGAAATACGGTACAGGTTGTGAGAAGAGCGCAGGAACGGGGNCATCCTCCTCCTGGCTGTATCCCTACACTGTCAGTGATCCTTGGTTTCCATGGTGATTGTGATGGCAAACATACAAAGTTACAGTCCAACGTCGGCCATGTCCTTGGCAGCGTCCTCATTGATTCCTGCTGTGACGAAGTAGAAAACTTACTGGACTCTGGCCTGAACCCTCAAGAAAGAAAGGAACACACACAAAAAACTAAACACTGCATCAGAAGTAAAGGAGGTAAGCAGAAAAAGCCTTGAGCCATCTCTTCACCACTCTCCCTCTACTATGGCAGCCAAGGTTGAGAATAGCCTAAGTGTGTGTGTGTGTGTGTGTGTGTGTGTGTGTGTGTGTGTGTGTGTGTGTGTGTGTGAGTGTGCCACTCATAATGGTTTTAGATCATTGTCGCGCATCACCCTACAGCATTTCCGTTCAAAGGAAGGCCTGCCCACGGTGGGACGAATGGGTAAAGAGAGCAGTGATGTCTGCCCAGCAGATCGCAGGAGATCTTCGGAGATTGGTCTGACGAGGCCACGAACAGGAGCCGGACGGGTTCTAGGAGATCCAGGTGAAGTCCCGATCAGTCCCGTTCTGCTGCTCGCCCTCCTGTGCCGAGGAGTCGCTCTCCTCCTTCTCATTGTCCAGTGCTCCGTGTGCCTCGGCGCTCATCCCTGAGTCCTTCCACTTCACCGCCTCCTCCTCCCCTTCTCCCATCATCTCGCCATCCCCTTCCACCAGCATCTCCTCCTCCCCCTCCCCGTCACCATCGCACTCCGCCTGGTCGTCGTGGAAGCGATCCCCGGGATACAGCTCCTCCTCAGGGGAAATGTCTCCACCCACCTCCCCATTGTGGTCCAGCAGGGCAGCCATGCCCCGGCCAGAGCAGTCGGCGCAGACGCCATGACGACGGGAGCCATGTTTGATTCCGACACTTGCTGCTGACATAAAGACCCGGCTGCAAACTTTACATACATACTTCTTGTCTTTGCTGTGGACCTGTTAGACAGAAAAACATCATTTTAAACAATTACTCATTTACACTTTGGATAAGGTGTAATTTACTGCCCCCTTCCGGTGATGGTACGCGCCCCCTCACCAGCGTGTGCCTCTTCATGTGCTCCCTCCTGGTGAACTTCTTGCCACAGATTTCACAGGGGTAGGGCCTCTCACCAGTGTGTGAGCGCATGTGCCTCTTTAGGATGCACTGGTGCATAGCAGAGAAGCTGCAGTAGGGGCACTTGAACTTTTTACGGATCACCGTGAAGTCATTCACTGTAGGGACAGAGAGAGGGAGGGAGGGAGGGATGGAGGAGATAAAAGAGACAGAGAGAGAGAAAGAAAGAAAAAATTATTGTTGAGTGAAGCTCGTTTGAATAAACCGAGACGTCACTTCTCAGTTATTACATTTAATTAGCAGCATGGTCTAGAAATGTACCATCAATTCCCATGGCCACCCCAATCCCAGTCAAAGCTACAGTTGCCCTGGCAACAGCTCTTCCTCCATGCTAAAGCAATAAAGGCAAAGAGATACTATAAACACACAACACAACAGTCGGTCTGCCTCCATTGCTCTCGAAGGTCTCAGCTATGGACAGCGAAAACACAGACAGAAAGACAAACACAGACGATGACATGAAGTTTGAAGGTTGGGAAATAAAAGCGCTCTCACACACACACACAAAAAGGGAAAATTCACCTTAATATTAAAAAAAAGAAATAACGTTAATACCATGTCCCAGCCTTGTGTAGAGGTCTGTTAAGCCAATTATCTCAAGGTCTAGACTTAAATGGTAGTTAAGCTAGGTGAAGGGCATCCAAGTAAGCAGATTGTGTGTGTGTGTGTGTGTGTGTGTGTGTGTGTGTGTGTGTGTGTGTGTGTGTGTGAAGCCAATGAGAAGCTTCACAGTCAAGGCATACAGTATATAACCATGAAAGATCAGGGGTTTGAATCTATGCGCACACAAGCACAACACACACGGTGCACATTCACTGTACGTAAAGGATGGAGTCAAACACACAGTTAAGGGTCAAGTTGCGCTATGAGTGAAATAATATGATATAATTACCTCCGTCGGCAAATCGACTTCTGTTCTGATTAAAACACGTGAAATCACATCAACAAAAAAAACATGCATGTACACAAACTGCACAACAGACATCAGATTAACACAAACACATAAGACAGACATATTGTTGTGATTCTGTGAAAATGTGCAGGACACAGAAAGCTGCAGAAATGAGGGAAATAAAGTTCTCACAATTTCCATAATAGTTTAATTACAGCATAAAATCTACAAGCAGAATCTCATTCCGTTTAGAAAAGTACATATTTTTATACAATACATAGTTTTCTTTATAACCTAAAATGATCTTTCAGTCTTAACAAACAACACATATTCCAATGCTATAAAAAACTACACAACATCCACACACCATTTGCCATTTCTCCTCAGTGGCTGATACTGCAGAGTTCCTGATTAGTTCCTGACTTCTCTAAGCCTACCAGTCCGTTTCAGCTGCTGGCTAGGACAGTGTGTGCTACCTGAGAAATGGGATTTTGTATTAGAAAGGATTTGGCATTTGGGAGTTCTTTGTGTAGATACACACACACACACACACACAACACATACATACAACAGCAAGGGGGGGTAAATTCTCAATACACACTAATAGACTGTCTTTTTTCGATGCACGCATGCAGCACATATGTGCCGGAGCGAGTGGATTATTAGAGCGAAACACAGGTGGATGTCTTCCCTTTGGGTGCAGTACACACAGTGTGAGTGCACACACAATAAAACCTTGAAAACTGGGTTGTATCAGGACAATATCTTGTTGCAGGGTAAAGGCCTGCTGTAAACTCAAAGGAGGAACATTTGGCAGAAATGTGTCTGGATTTTAAATACTGAATCCACGATCCTGCAGCCTTCTGTCTTCACCACCTCCCTTACTCGTCTCTCCAGCATTTTCCCACTTGTCACCCTTGATCCCCCCCATTTTCTCCCTCACTCTCACAGCCGCACCATTATCCGCCTGCAGCAGTGACATCACTAAGCTCATCTGCTTTAAAGGGAGTCGGCCCCTCTGTCCCCACTTCCTCTTCAGATGAGGGGTCAGGGGTTAAGAAGGGTCGGAGCCATGAAGGGCCAATTACTGTCCAGCTCCAGCCACACTCAGCCACTAGAAGACGCACAGATCTGCGACAGAGCAAGAAGGACAAAGAGAGAGAGAAAATGACACCACCCTACGCCCATCCGAGCAGATACAGCTCTATTGTTTTTAGCTGGTTTTGTCTCTTTCGGCACATCCCCTCCATCTGCACTGAACTCCCAGCACTGACCCAAGACAATTGTGTCAGGCTGATGACTGGAGACAAGCTCCTACATGTCCAGTGGAGGTGGATCTGAGGTAGAATCACTTTCTATAACCACAGATATTTTAAATCAACATCTTTTATGCCAATAATAAATATTTTAAATGCTAATTGAGTTGCACTGCCAGGGAAAATAAATGTGATTTGGGTCTCACCGCTGCAATACTACATAGTTCCTGCAGGTGGTGTGGTTGCGTGGTCCGTGAGCTACAGGAAAGCCGAGCAGATATGAACTGTGTGTGTGTCTGAGTGTCTTTGTGCCCATAATGCAGGCAGGGGTGGACACAAAGATAAAGATCTCTCTGCCTAAAAAGGAGAGAAGACTTAAGTCAGACGGGTGACTGGCGACAGCGAGTCAGACAAGTGGTTTAGAGCTGGGGTGGGGGGGTGGGGGTGGGGGGTTTCACAACCCCCTGTTCTCTGCACCCGCAGCACAAAATACCTTCAAGCTATTCACAAACCCTAACAATACTGTGTACAGCCAAAAGTTTGTTTAAAAGATTAGTTTTGCATAGCAATTCTGAACCTCTGACATGTTAGATCATATATCATGAAAAGTATGAACAAGTTGTAAAAAAAAAAGTCTCTATGGATTAATAACGATGTCAACAGATATTTTGATCTCCTCAGTGCAGAAACTACAAATCGTTTTTGGCATGAACAAACAACACAAGTAGGGATACAATGCTAATTGAGGGGTTATGGATGTGTGTACATAAACCTGCAGCCCATGCATTCAGTCTTCCACATTGATACTGTGATTATGATGGTCAACTTTCATCTCTTGAGAAAGTCGCCACAGTGGATATATAACCCCGCCTCTGGACATTTCCATCCCAGCGCTGCCTCCAAGTATCGTTCCTGGCACTGACCCCACCTGGCAGCACACTTTAACGTGTGTCGCCAGGTTCTTTTGAGTGCTAAAGGCCTTGGCACAGGCGGGGCAGGTGTGCCCTCTCTCTTTAGAGTGCACGGACGACAGGTGCCTGTGCAGGTCTGTGCGGTCTCTGAAGTGTTTCAGACAGTATACACACTGCATCAGCTTCTTCTTGAAGTGGATCGTCTTCTCGTGTCGGTCTGCGTTGGACTTGAGTGTGAAGCTGGCGGGGCACTGGGAGCAGAGGTAGCGCGCTGGCACAGACTCGGTCACAGCGGAGCGGTAGAGGGACTGGTGGTACGGGAGAGGCTGGGACTGCGGCTGGTGACGGGGCTGGGTGGGCTGCGGACCCTGCATTTCCCAGTCCATGGACAAGGCCATCAGAGACAGGGTGTGGCGGTATTCGTGTTCCCTGAGATGCTCCAGGCTGCTGAACAGCCGTTTGCACAGGGAGCAGGCGAACCCCTGTGAGGCCCAGGCGCCAAGCTCTGGCAGGACTCTTTCCCCTGATCCAGCCTCTTCGCCCTGCACCATCAGCCCTCTAGTCCCTCTGCCAGCCTCGGACACTGACGCAGGTATCATCCCACCAGCACAGCTCCCATCGCCCATCTGATCCTTCTCGACAGGAGACTGGTCACCTTCCAAGCCTGAGATAGCAAGAAGCAGGGTGACAGAATGAAATAGATATGTATGGCATAGGATAAAAAAACACTCTTTAGTTATGATTTATTTGGATACAGCCTGAAACGTACCTGTGCTGTATTCTTTCATATCTTCTTCATCCTTTATAACCTCCTGCAAACACAAAACAATTCATTATGCCACACACACACACATTCATACAGGCTGTATGGAATATTGTCTGGGCATGCAGGAGGCAGGCAGGTGTAAGAAGCTGTGAAGACATTTTTTTTTATCTGTGAGAGACACTGAAACACACATGAAAACAGAAAAGAAAAAAAGAAAAGAAGAGAAACGACAGGTCAGAGTGATTTAAAGGGATGAGGAAGCAAAAACAGTAAAAGTGTCGTACAGTAAATAACTGACAGTTCCTGGATGCTGGAGCTGTCTTATGGAACGAGCTCTTGCGTTGATCTACAGTATTAATAATATAATCCCTCTGTTCCTCATATACTCAACCCCCACTCGGATGCACCCGTCCCCACTTTCTTCTCCCGTCTACATTCCAACTCGACTGTATCCGTCCTCCATCTACACCATGCTCCTGTCATTCCTTCACCCCCCCACCCTTTTCCTTGGCCTCCTCCTCCTCCTCCCCCTCTCCAAGAACAGAACGCTGTGCACTGGGCAAACAGATGGCTTGTCCGTAGAGATGGGGAGGCTTGTTGGGAGGCAGGTCCGCTGAAATCAAACGCTGCTCCTAAATGCTCACCCGCTCACACAGCGTGCGCACACACGGAGAGGTAGAAAACGAGCGTCAACACATGCTCATACTGCCATGTTCACACACGCACACACACACTGAGCAGAGCAAACAATTTCCTGGGCTGTGAGAGCAAACCTCTCATTGTCTACTTGTATTGATTCTACTCAGTCTCATCTCACTACCTTTCCCGTTATCCGCTATATCTAAGCACACACTGCCATTGTGACAAGATGTGTCATCCCTAATCCAACCACTATAAACCACATTACTGCTAATTCTGAGCAAAGACTCCTGGCTTCGAAGGTGAATTCTGGTGTAGCTATAATAAAAGAAAAAAAGAAATTATATGAAAGGTGAGACGAGAGCGTGGAGCTGGAAATCTGAAAGGAAGAGAAGGAAAAACAAATTGTGCAGAAAAGAAAGACAAACAAAAGACAGTGTTTCTTGTGCAGTGTAGCAGGAAATGTGCCAGATTCCACACAGAAAATGAGGAACAAGAGAGGAGTTGAGCGATGATGTGCTTGTGTGTAAAAAAGACTTTGCGGTGATTAAAAATAACCCCATTAACACCCGGCCCCACCCCCCATCACGTCACCGGTACCACCGTCACCTCTCAACCCCTCTCTGTGTGTTTGCAGGAGCAGGGTGAAGCTGCCCCCCGGAAACTCGTCTCCAGTTTCTACACGCTTCAAACTTGTATCCAACTGGAGGAGCAGTACCCAGAGAGCAGCCTCCGCCCTGGAGCTGATCCAGGCTCTGTGTGCTTACCTCAGGCAAGGTGGAGGGCTCCGGGCCCTCAGGAGCATCTTCCACATCCATGTCCAACCCTTCTGCGCGCAGCGGGGATGCCCCGGCCCACAGACCGGGGGCCTCCAGGGGCCGAGGCTCAGAGGGGAGCAGTGGTGTGGGTGGAGTGGGTGGGCAGTATGCCAATGTTGATGACGACGATGATGGCGGTAGTGGTGATGTTGGAAGATGAGATGGAAGAAGAAGAGGAGGAGGAGGAGGAGGAGGAGGAGAGGAGCCAGCCCCCTGTTTGTTATGAATAGTGGCCCCCGTGGCCCCTGGCCGGAGCGTGCTGCAGTAGTTGTTGGAGCGGAGCCCTGAGGAGCACAGGAAACGAGTCTCACCCACCCACTCACGTACAACTGCAACTCTG